CTACTACTATTTGGAAAATCTGGCTTCATAATAAAGTGGCGACCTTCATAATAAAGTGAGGAACAAGTAAGAAGTGGTTTTCGTAGCACACATTGCATCTCCCGAGCAAAATATCTAACCAAGTATATGCTTACACGAGCGACGCGCTACCAGAACATACGCACCTATTATTATATTAGAATAGAAATTTTTACGCATTTATTTGAAAAATCTAGTTGTATTGCGACTTTGTTAATAATATAAGGAACAAATAAAAAATAGTTTTCGTAACACACATTGCATCTTTCATGCAGAATATCTATATCCTTATAATCTCGTATACGCTTGCTCGAGTGATCCCCTACAAGAGCATACGCGCTAATTATATTGCAATAAAAATTTATGCACACTTATTTGGAAAATCTGGCTGTGTATAATACAGCGACCTCCATAATACAGTAAAGAACAAGTTAAAAATGGTTTTCGTGGCAAATATTACGTCTCCTAAGCAGAATATCTAACCAAGCATATGTTTACACGAGTGGTTGCACTATGCGACTAATATATTTAAATAAAAATTTATACATACTTATTTGTAAAATCTGCCTGTGTAGCGATCTCGATAATAATTTATGAAACAAATAAAATTTGAACTTTGTAGCAAACATTGCCCAGCAAACACAATAACAGTCACATCGTTGTAATGTAACGGAATGTAACGACAATATAACATGTTTGTTACATGTAACATACACATTAGTTATTATTTTCCAGCAATTACAGGCATTAATTATACACAGAGATTACAAGCTATCACTCAAATATTAATTAATTTGTAAAAGTATGCTTCTAAAATATTATAATTATATAATTCGTATCAAAAATATTTTTATTAAAGATAACAGCATAAAAGTATCTTGCCATTTTAAATTAATTAGCTCCCAAATAACATAAGATATTACAGAATCATCCCAGAGCCATTCTAGGTGCCTGGGAAAAAAAATTCAGGTAAAAGCCAGATATGGATTTTGTCTAGATCTGATCTTTCATATACAGGATGGGCCATTTTATTTAATACATTCAAAAATCTCAAAAAAGAGAAATTTTTTCAAAAAATGTTTCAGACGAAAGTTGTCGGGTTCAGAGGGAGATATCTGAAGATGACCTTGATTTTGACCTCGGAGCTCATTCTGAAGGTTATTCGAAAGTCAATTTTGCATTTTAAATAAAAACATTAATTTTTTCTTACGGAATTTTATTCTTCGTAAAGAAAATAACAACTTTTGTTTGAACGAATTTTTCGTACGACCTCCATTTTCTAAGATATTTACGGAAATAACTACAAAATTATTGGTTTCAATAATTTTTTACTCGAATTCTTCCAACTTTACCGAAAAATGGTAAGAGATAAAAATTGTTTATTTTCTTCTCATAGAGCTCTGGGAATTTTTTCAGAATTTTTTAGTGAACTTCTTAGTACTGTATTTTCTTGCATTTTCTTGAAGTACTAAAAAGTTTATAAAAAATTCTGAAACAATTCTCAGAGCTCTATGAGAAGAAAATAAATAACTTTTATCTCTTGTCAACTCTATAACCTAACCTAATCTGTCAACTTCAACGCATGCGCACAGAGGACGAATAGGAACGTATAGCTTTCTCTCTCGCACACATCTTGAAGATACTTTCGTGCCAGCATTCCCCCTCCATATATATATGTTTTAAGATCGTACGTCGCGCGTCGCGTCATCCCAATTAGAGGATTTGATTGGTTAACTCGTGACGCAGGCAGACGACGCGACGCGTGACGCACTCAATAAGAACTCAGCCTTAATATCAGTTGAAGAAATAGCCAAAGTAGTAGACTAGGAACCTGGAGGTGTGAGGTCTCAAGTTCGCGTCCGACTAGTTCTAGTAAATTTTCAGGTGTGAAAATAGTGAGAAATCAAATAAAACAGCTAAATTATATGTAAAATCAACATAAGCTGACTAGTTGCAATCGTTTCTGCAAAATATATATTTTTTAAACTAGTGTTATACGTCATTTTTATGTCATTTTATGTAAAAAAATGATGTGATTAAGTTGTTGTACATATGACGTCATTGGTCTGTGACTTAGGACCGTTAAAAAGACGTCATTATTTGGTTAACTTGAAGGATAAATGACATAACAGATGACGTAAAATTCACGTCATTGTCACGGCTGTTTGCTACCTGGGCTGTATGCTCTCGCGAAGTTTGAGTACGACACTATATAAAAAAGTTTGAAAACACAGAACAGAAAACAATCTATGCAGTAAATATTCGTTGTAAGTGTAATAGGGAATTAATAAAGTTTATTTTTCATATAAACGCGTATGGTGCATTATTACGAGCTCCCAAAACAACACGTAAAATATATGTAGGACATTAAATGGATGATTATCCTGACATAGCACTCACAATGAAAGTTATTGAACAGTAATAATTGCAAAACATTTCATTACATAGCACCTTTTAAAAAAATTATCGGTTATTATAACCAGATAGAACAGATAGTCAAAATAATGTCAATCTCATATCATTTTCACCAAAAAATGACATAAAGAAGGAAAGTTAATAAGGCCGATTTTTGGGCCAAGAGTGTTGCACATTTTTGGGGGTAAACAAAAGTTGTAAGCCTTCAAAGTTTGAGTAACGTGGGTGTTAGCCACGGCCAATGTGCAATACCTCCAATAAAGCCGATTTCTGGACCAAGAATGTCGCACATTTTTTATTGTATATTATTATAGTGAAGATTAAGAACTTCCCGTAGTACCATAGTAACATGTTTTTACATTGGCCAAACGAAAATTAATGTGCACGTGCGTACGTGTGTACGTGTATTTTATTTTTTATAAAGATTGAAGTCGTACCTTGAAGAAAAGCGCTAGAACAAGCGTCCTGATCACGGATTATATAAGATAGATTATGTAATATCTGTATAGTTTTACTTGTAAATTCTCAAATTAAAAGAACAGTCTGTAGATGTTGCACATTGGTCATGACTAACACCCAAGTTACTCAAACTTTGAAGGTTCGCAACTTTTGTTTGGCCCAATGTAAATAGGTGTACTTCGGAAAGCTCTTGATTTATACTATAATAATATACAATAAAAAATGTGCGACGTTCTTGGCCCAGTAATCGGCCTTATTGGAGATGTTGCACATTGGCCGTTTGGTCCAACGCAAAAAGGTGTTACTATAATGCTTCGGAAAGCTTTCGATCTCTACGATAATAATATACAATAAAAAATGTGTGACGTTCTTGGCCCAAAAATCAACCTTAGTGGCCTTGCTCCTTTCATCAATGTTTGATCAAAATAACATTAGATTAACATTATTTGTTCTATCTATCTGTTCTATCCAAATATCCTGCAACCCTATTATACTCTAGATTCCTCTAATGTATAACACATTTTTATAAATCTATGATTCACAATTCTTGTGTTAATTTTGGGTATACTTTTCCATACAGCTACAAGCCTTTTTTATTATCATCGATGACATTCAAGATCGGTCTTCACTTCGCCGAAATCAACCGTGTTGGTATCTACATAATGATATAGGTTTAGCTGCAATTAATGATGGTATAATGATAGAGAGTATTATGTATCAACTACTACGGAAGCACTTCGGTCAAAAAGATTGTTACGTAGATTTGCTAGAATCATTCCAGGACGTGAGTAATTAATATCTTCTTTTCAATTGTAGACTTCAATCAGTACGATTTATTAGATGCTGTAAACATGTTGAAGTGCTTAAAGAAAAATTATGTTTGATCCATACGGCACTTCAAAACATTTGCAGCGTCTAATAGATCGCATTCAATGAATATATAAATTAATTCACTTATTTTATCTTTTTAATCAAATGATTATTCATGAAAATATTTCGATAGATCACATTGAAAACTATATTGGGTCAGTCTTTAGACTTGCAATCAACCAATTTCGGCAAAATGCCGAATCTGAATTTATTCACGATGGATCGTTATAATTCCATCGTCAACTACAAAACGTCATATTATACGTTTATCCTGCCGATAACTATCTCGATGCATTTTGTAAGTATTTATTTAGATTTTGCTTATATGCGCAGGAATTTCGATTTTTTAAAACCATCTTTGATGGTTAAAGAAAATATTAGATAATTTGATTTAATGATATCTGCAGCCAAAAATCTCGATGCATTGTTTTACTGTTTTAGGCCGGAATAAAGGACCGGGAGATGTTTAGACAAGCAAAAACAATTCTGTTAGAAATGGGACATTTCTTCCAAGTACAGGATGATTATTTAGATTGCTATGGGAATCCTGAAGTTAGTGGTAAAGTTGGTTACGATATAGAGGAGGGGAAATGTACATGGCTGGCCGTCGTGGCTCTTCAACGCGTCACACCGGAGCAACGAAAGATTTTAGAAGTGAGTATATCAAGCTTTCTTTCTCGTGATAGGAGAGAGTGGTGTTGTAACAAAGAAAAGATTTTTGTGGTTAACTAATTTATTATAAATTACAGGGAATCGTAACTTTATGTGAAAACAAAAGGCCTCCTTGAATTTGATTATAACATAATAGACATTAGAAAAAACAACAAATTACAAAATATATTTTCCATTAAAGACACCGCCGCAACTTGTTACTACCACGGTGATGTCAATTGTACCACCTTAGGGTGTATTATACAGTTATAACATATAATAACTGTGAATATACCAATACGGAAATTAGCACTATGCTAGTGAACATTATGTAACATGGTAAAAGAAACAGGAAAATAATAACCGTGAGATCTCAAATATTATAAACAAAAATAACTATCATCAATAATGATAAAATATTCAATCAGATTCAGAAAATAATAGATGATTAGTAAGAGTAACTGTACGATACTATTACTTGGACAATCATCAAACAACAAATGAGCTTTTGTTGTGGCAACAGAAGAATTTTTCTCAGTGATAATTCAAACTATAATACAATTATAACGTGTTACAATCGACACTACAGTGATTGTTACTTTTGCAACCACCGCCGCTTGTTTCCATTAGATGTCTATTAAACTCACATGCAAACAATAAATTGAATTGATACACATCTTATTCCAAAGCTTGATATTTATATATTCATATCAAACAATATAATTTTGGCAAATTGTTATGGGGCGAGTTTAAACAAAGTAACGCCCTTATAGAAATATCATACTAAGAATCATTGATAATTATTTATTTTCAGTATTAAAAATACTGGATAATAAATAATTATCAATGATTCTTAGTACGATATTTCTATAAGGGCGGCGAATAACAAATTAACGTTAACGATTTGACACTGATTCCAAACAATTGACACTGACAAGTTTGTCCTGGCAAACGCTCCCTCGTTTCCTCGTCAATAACTTGCGTCTGTTAAAGCTATGCAACTATGTATACAATTCAGCTTTTGATCAATAGATGACGTTGCTGCAGTCAACGTTACAATTGATCCCCCGTTACAACTCTGACACCACTCTCCCCTATATTCTATTCCGTATACTTAGATTTCTTTGTAAATTTAATCATTTTATTTTTAAAAATAAAATAAAATATGGGAATCGTAAAATATTTATAATAGTTAGATTTGTAAGTATTCCATGTCTCGTGAAAATTATCGTTGTCGTATTAATAATTTTTTTTTACTATCGCACAGGAATGTTATGGATCCCCAGACCCGGAGAAAGTAAGACGCGTGAAGCAACTTTACAATGATCTTGGGCTACAAAACATGTATTCCATATATGAAGAAGAGACATACAATTTATTAAATACTCACATACAACAGATATCACGTGGTCTTCCACACGGCCTTTTCCTGAAGATATTGGAGAAAATTTATCGCAGGGTGTCATGAGAACATCTCTTATATGTTAAAGGAACAGATTAATGTATCGATTATATATACATTTATTTTACCATCATAAGTTTAAAGTTTGGAAAGTTTAAAGTTTTGGAAAAAAAGATGTGCCAATACTGAAAAAATTAAGCTATTTTATAATAAATATTATTTCTCTCTAGTTAATTCTTTTTGAGAATACAATATAAATATTACAATGATATCGATATACAAATTTCAAGTGTTCCTTATAAAAATTCTATATACAGGGTGTTCCGCCACTACATATTATCTCTTAAGAGCGGATTCCTGAGATAATTTGAAGAAAAAAATCCTAATATAAAAATTTTGAGACTATAATACTTTTCAAATTATAAATGATTAAAGTTGATCAGTTATATTGGCTAAAGTACGTGCGCTCAGATACAACACACAATGGTACAGGTGCATATACATAAGTGAGGATTTGCATAAGATATGAAATTAGTTGTAAATCTCTGAAAGAAACGTCAAATGTGTGACAGCTTATTGATTTGAATTGATAAATGTATTGTGTGATATTTTATTCATAACATTTTGACGAAATTGTTATTATTTACGTTATTTATGTTATTGTTATGTTTACTTAAATAATAGAAAAAGTAAATTATTATTACATATGTTGTATGTATGGAACTTCCGTATTTGGAAACTTCAATATTTGGAAAAGGGGCGACATGTGCATGCATCTGTATTATTGTACGTTGTACCGTACCTGAACATGCGTACTTTAGCCAGTATAATTGGTCAATTTTAATTTTTTATAATTTGAAAAGTATTATAGCTTCGACATTTTTGCATTAAGACTTTTTTATTAAAATTATCTCAAGAATCCGCTCTTAAGAGATAATGCGGTAGTGGACATAAAATATTATGTTTTTCTATTGAGAGAAATGTCAATATAAAAGAGTTTTAAAATATTCATGCAACATATTGTATCGTATATACGTGTATATAATTTTCTTTTAATGCACGAACAGTGCTGCATACTTTTTTGTGAAATTATATAACTTTCCTTAAATAGATTGCAATTTATTATATTATTACAATCAATTGCAATAAATCGTTCTTTATGGAAACAGATATAAATTTGTGATTTTACGTATATACCAACTAAAAATATTTTTATGTTATATCCTAGTAAAAATAACGCACAGAAAGACAAGATTTCTATTCGTTTCTAACTGTAAGCTGTCCGTTGTATCTGCAAATATAACATGCAGATAGAAAATCCGCATTAAATTCTATCCGTTCTAGCAGTAAATTCTATCCGTTTCTATGCGCATCCTGCACGTAATCACATTTCACCTGTCCGTATAGGAATCCTATCTGTTTCTGTCCATATCCTATATGTCGCGACTCCTATCTATATATATCCATAATTACGTACAGGAATCCTATTTGTTTCTGTCTGCATCCTATACGCCGTGATATCTATCTGCATGTGTTCACAATTATGTACAGTAATCCTATCCGTTTTTATCCGTATCTTGTACGTAATGACGTTTCATCTGTATCTATCTGTAGTTATGTATAGGAATTCTATCCGTTTTCATCTGCATCCTATACGTCATGATTGCTATCTGCATCTGTCCGCAACTACATACAGAAATCCTATTTATGTTTCTGTCCGAATTCTACATGTCGCGATTTCTATCTGCATCTGTCCGCAATTACGTACAGTAATCCTACTCATTTTTTTCCGCGTCCTACACGTAATCACGTTTCACCTGTATTTGTCCGCAATTACGTACAGAAATCCTATCTGTTTCTGTCCGCATCCTATGCACTGCAATTCCTATCTGCATCAATTACGCTATTTGTCCACAATTACGTATAGAAATCTTATCGGTTTCTGTCTGCATCCTATATATCGCGATTCTTATCTGCATTTGTCCACAGTTATGTATAGCAATCCTACCCGTTTCTGTCTGCATCCCGCACGTGATCACACTTCACCTGTATCTGTCCGCAATTACGTATAGAAATCCTATCTGTTTTTGTCTGCATCCTATACATCGCGATTATCTGCATCTGTCCGCAATTACATACAAGAATCCTGTTTGTTTCTGCTCGTATTCTATACGCAAATCCTATTTGCATTTGTCCGTAATTACGTACAGTAATCCTATCTACAAATGTGGATATGCATTCTTTTCATTTCTGGCTGCAGAAGCAGCTAGGGTATCTATCTGCATCTGTATATAAAGCGACCTGCCCCCCTATAACTGTTCCTTACTGTTGATTTATATACGCTCCTATTCGTTTTTTCTATCGGTAAACGCATACATACGAGTAGATATCGACCTGATTCTGACCTGCTTATGATAGCGTAATTTCTCATCAAAGCACCTGTTTATTACACTAATTTCAAAAATATATGAATAGGACATGAGCCGAAATTTGAATTCGAGATAGAATTAAACGCGCTATGTTGAGCATAAACATATTCCCAGACAACACGTATATCTAAAAGGTCATCTTAAAAACATCTTAAGAAAGACATCTTTAAGACTTTATTAAAAGACGCCATAAAGACATCTTTCAGTAAAGTCTTAAAGATATCTTTTTAAAGACATCTTTAAGA